ACCAATATTTAGAAGTATCATTTTAGTCACACTGCTGATTATACTAAAGACAAGAATTGACTCAGGTCTGGATTATTCCAAGCACTGGACTGTGATGTATGTGTATTATACAAAATGTCAACCTTGAAAATATTATTTAGTAGATATTTTGGGGTCTCTACAGAAGGTTACAGAAACTTCTTTAAGTAAACTAACTCAACTTTTAAAAATAATTAAATGTAATTTTGGTGAAGCAGTTATCAATTTAAATGGGCTTAAAGTGAGCATACATCTTTGATAAGACTGGAATGGAGGACAATATCCCATTAATTTGGGGGTCTGTCTTACACACTTGACCTTATCCTTTAGCTTCAGCTTTGTATAAAGTCTGCACTTGTCACTATAATCCATTTCTGCCAGGCACAGGTGTCCTTCCCCACCCAAATGCAATGCAATGCAATCCAAGACAAACTCCCTCCGATTAGTCTCTGGAGACTGGTTTCTATTTAGACTCTGGATAGACCTTGTACTTTTGCAGATGGTGGCCACACATAAGATGTGAGTTTATCTTGAAGACACATAGAGACCCATTTCTAGGTTCAAAGTTGCCTCTGGGATGACCTCACATTCCCCATGGCATGCCTCTCTCTGCACTGGCTGGTAGGAGGGAAGCATATGTTGACATAACTTCTCACTCTTTTTCAAATCAGGTTGAGGAAATTCATTCTTTTGCCTATTACATAGTCTCTTTCCAAAGAAAGTACTGGTCCACCTTTAGCTCTTCCCTTGTTTTTGTATTTTCAGGGATTATTTCTGCTCTTTGTGAAATTGGTACTTCAGTTTAGATTCAGAAGAGATTACTACTGGAAACACCTGTGATTGCCCCCCAAGTTTTAAATATTAATTTAAAAGCTGAAGCATTCACTAAATGAAAGAATTCTTTGAATTTATACAGAGTAGTGCCAAATCCCATCAGGGCAACATTGAAATTGAAATACCTTTCAATATATGTGCATCCTTTGGAAAAGTGTAGCTTAAAGAGCAAAGTGCTTGTTAGCTTGACCTCATTGGATTCATATTATACAATCTCCAAAGTATGATAAATGCATAGGTATCTCTTAATAAGCCATAATAATAGGATCCATAGAAATAACCAGAGTTGATGTAAGAAAAAATGGGGTGGCAAAGTAATTTAGCATCCTTGCATGGAGTTGAGGAAAGGGAAAGACTTAGATTTTTTTCTTTCTTAAGTTTCTAGAAAAAAAAATAAAAGGCAAGACATGTATTTGTGGTTACTGGTCTTTCCTCAGTTTTAAGAACAACAACAAACAAAAATCAAACAACAACAACAAAAACATGTTTACGGGACTTTGCCAAGCAAAGATAATATGACAAAAGGGTTGGCAATCCTGGTGAAATTAAACAAAAAATGGAGTTTTGTCAGATAGTGAATGGAGTCTAATTATATTCAGGGGCAGGTTAAAGTAATCAGAAGGCAAGGAACCCAATTATGAGATAACATAGATGATAACTTAGATGGCCCAATAAAATACAAAAATAGGCAGATAAAAATAGAATGATTTTATATAAATTCTTGAAGAGTTTAGGAATATTTGAGATAAAAACTTAGAAGAAAAAGTACTAAAATAAATTTGATGAGATACATATTCTTAAAGGAAAATAAAAGGCTTATCTTGTGTAATGAGTGGAGAAATACCAGGTTTTTCTCTGATTTTCACCATTTTATAAGTGCTTTGGGATTATAGAGTTTTTATAATTGGGGACATATTTTTTTATGAAAAATGTGCCCCAAATAAAATCAATCCTGTTTGTTCCAGCGATTCCTTTTCTTTTGCTTCTTTTCCTAGAGGATATTCCTCAAAGCCATTTGAAAATTAAGATATGAGAGTTAGAATTTTTTGTGGTAAAGTTAGTGGTTTGTGGAAAAACCTCCTTCTGGGTTATTGGCATTGTTTGACTAAGATTTCGAATGCACTTTGTGTACAAAGGACTATCCAACTGTTACTACAGAAATTACACCCAACCCACTGGTTTGACTGTATGTCCTGTTGATGCTCAGCGCTGACAGGAGTTTAGAATTAAAGTCAATAGTTCTCTGTGATAAAATGATACTTTGAGAAAGACTCAAGGAAGGAGTGCTTGTGAGTAACTGCAGGTTTTCCTTCTGTCTTCCTGTGTTCTTAGCTCCATGTTCTTGTTCTCCTTCTCTAAAGAAAGGCTCACATTTGCATTTTGGGGGAGGTTCTTTTATGTGGCAGATATCAAAGGGCTTAGAATCAACCCAGCTCTGGTACTCAGTTTCTCATGCATTCAGAGCCGTTGAAAAGGATTTTATAAAATCCGGTGCCCTGCCATAGTCCACTTGCCCATGAGACACCCCATGCCAGGGCAGCCATTTCCACAGCATTGAAGTTTGCTCAGTGCTTCTCAGTTCCCTGGATTCTCATGGCCTAAGAGAAGGCCACTCAACACCACACCAGACAGGGACCCTCCCAAGAGGGCAAGAAGGGTGTTCAGAGTCAGCCCCAGATTGTCAACATTTTGCTTTTTCTGATCCTGAAATTTTCATTCAAAAAGAGCGGGTTTGTTCTTATTTAAAAATCAAAGCAAACTAAAATGCCCACCAAAACCTCAAAATTCTTCTTATTATGACTTTTGTAATCTCAATTGTATATTATAACTTTTTCCCTTTTCCACACAAATCCAATTTCTCCTTCAAAATACTTTTTTGAGAGAGAGAGAGAGAGAGAGAGAGAGAGAGAGAGAGAGAGAGAAATCTTTTTTGTAGATGGACACAACACAATATCTTTATTTTTATGTGGTGCTGAGAATTGAACCCGGGTTGCACCCGTTCTAGACGAGCACTCTACCGCTGAGCCACAATCCCAGCCCCTCAAAATACTTTTTAAAAAAATATGAAAATCAATTTACTATGTAATTCTGTTAGCTCAGAATACATAGTGATCAGTGGTTTTTCCTCTGAAAAATGAGTCACTTTTACTGTGAGAAGTTTGACATCAGAGAGGGGAAGATATGTGAATTCAGAGGATCATACTGCTTTATTTCACTTTGGCCCTGTTTGCATAGCAATATCCAGGGCAGTCTTGCCCAGCCAATGTTAATCATTGACCTTTAGGACCCTGGGGAGCGGAGCAGATCTCTCTCCCTCCACCTCATGATTGAATCATCTTAGAAGCCCATATGCATGGTCACAATGTCCAGTACTGTAGATGCTCATTCAGTAGCTCCAAGTGCTTACACTTCAAGAGATTCTTAGATCTGTGGAAATGGGGAATGAACTTTTTAATTACATGTCTTTTGATTTCTATCACCAGGAACTAAATGAATAGGGAATTAATTCACAAGGTTTGTTATGCATTTTCCTATTTAAAAGAGGATCCTTTCCCACAACCTTTCTACTTTGTCCTTTTACCCCAACCTCTCAATACTGAAATACCCTCTTTTTTATTCCAACTACATTGAAAACATGCAGTAGACTTAGCACCCTCTGGAATTCTGGCAATAACTGCCATACAATAGTCCTGTTTCAAAACTAGGTCCAGAATAAATAAGACATTTTTTTTGTCATTTTCCTGGTGACCTGTGTAAGTTTTCAATATTGCCTAAGAGTTATTTTGAAATAGCTTATAGTAATCGTTTCTTAGGCAAAATATTTTCTATTTGGTGAGAAATAGTGATACATGAAGTAGAAAGGCACAAGTGTTCTCTTCATAAACCAAGTTTTTATCTGCACTTGAAAAATCAACCAATAAGATGCAGGCTGAGGGTAATTGGGA